AAGAAAATTTTGTTTTGAAATAATTATGACTTTTTATGTATTTCCATATTATTATTTAGGTTTTGATATTAATAATATATGTAAAAATTAGTTATATGGTACTAGAATTATGATAATAAATTAAAATTTACTTTAATATTATGTTATTAAACTGAATAAAATAGTAATTTATTTTTATTATTTTTAAAAAATGTAAAAAATGTAAAAAAATTATATTAAATCATATAGCATATCTAAATAAAAAATTTAATTATTTTTAATAAATTTAAAGTTAATAAAAACATTTTTAAACTTGAATCGAGTTGAGTCAAATTCTAATGTCGAGCTACTTGGAATAATCCAAGAAACCCTATCTATTTTGCTATGTTCTCGTAGTATTTCTCCTTTTTGGAGTTAAATTTAATGTTGTATTTTCTACTATGTTTACTAGTATTTTTTTATAAATTATATGTTTCTACAATTATTGTATGTGGCGTTTGTTTGTTTTATTATTAATAATAGTGTGTGAATGTATAATTTTAAATAAATTAATAAAACATAAAGTTTTGTGATATAGTACAAAGAAACCCACACCAAAGTGAGAGCCATCTCTTGGTGATTCTCTTACAAGAAGTAAACAACAAAGTGCTCCACATTGATGCGGATGGACTACTTTATTTTTCTTTCACTTTCGGACTTTAACTTCAATTAGGAAAAGGGATTCCACCCATAGAAAAGATCAATCTCATTTTATATATTTTTAAAATTTTATTTGCATGATCATTAATTAGTAAAGTACACGGAGGTCCCTGATTATAAGGTGTTGCTTTATTAAGTCCCACGATTATTAAAAGTTACAAAATGATCCTTCAACTATAGCATCTTGTTTTGTTTAGTTTTTTTATTATTAAAAGTTACAAAATGGATTTGAATGTCACACAAAGCAACCAAAGTGGTCAACGAAAATCTTTTTCTTGAAACCATACTCACTTCAAAATATTTATACAAGGTATAAAATCATAACAATTTATAAAATCACTTCAAAAAGGGTTTTAAATTTTGTGTTAGAAATGTAAATAATCTTTAAAGCATGTATTTAAAAATTCTAAGTTGATTTCTTTTCTTTCTATCTAAGTTGCATGTGTAGTACCTATTAGGAACAAAATTCATCTTCCCCTAAATCTGAGATGAATACAATATAGTATTTGCTAAAAAAATCTCAAGCAATTGAAAATGAACGTTCATACCCATGTCAGTGCTCGAACCCAGAATATCTAGAGAGAATAATAAATTCCTTAAATACTGAGGGCGTTTGGTTCGTGCTGCTCAATATATTTAAATAGACATTTACGTGATTTTTTTCCACTATCAATACATGAAATAATAACCCAAAAACTAAATATCAAGAGTTAATTTTTCTTCTTTTTATCTCTTCATAACTTTTTACACAATATTTAAATGCTTAAATATACAAAAGGTGCCCAACCTATGCTCCTTTTTTTCAGTTTATTGTCTAACGTTTATTTCGTTCTAGTTTGGTGCCTAACGTTTCATTCCATTACTCAAAATGGGTCAAGCCGTGACAGACCGTTAAGTTTGGCCGTTAAGTGACACGTGTCAAAACCTGGTAATTTTAAAAATTTTATTGAAAATTAAACAATTAAAATAATATATATTTTAAAAAAAGAAAACACAAATTTTGAAATAAACCCAAAACTTTGAAAACCTTCATTTCAACCCCTAAACCCACGTCGGTCACTGCCTTTTTCCGTCGACGAAGCTCCACCCGACCTCCCCTCACCTCAACGACCAAAATCCCCATGAAATCGTGACCGATCGACGGTCGATCGGCCGTCGAAATCGCGTGGGATCACGATTTTCAACCTAGGGTTCACGGGGTATAAAACGTTGATTCGTCATTGATCGGCTGTCGATCCATCACAATTTTATGGGGGTTTTGGTCGCCGAGGGGAGATCAGGTGGAGCTTTGTCGATGGTAAAAGGTGGTGGCTGACGTGGGTTTAGGGGTTGAAATGAAGGTTTTTAAAGTTTTGGGTTTATTTTTAAATTTTGTGTTTTCTTTTTTTTAAAAAATATATTATTTTAATTTTTAATTTTAAATAAAAAATTTAAAATTATGTCGTTGACGGCCTGGGCACCTAAATGATTAACGAAATGAAACGTTAGACACCAAACTGGAACAAAATAAATGTTAGACACTAAAGTGGAAAAAGGGTCATAGATTGGACACCTTTTGTATATTTAACCCATATTTAAATTATTCATAACCTATCAATTCTTCGAATTAAAAACAATTATACTTGAACACATTCGAATTTATAATCTTGAACCAATACCCTGTCGATTTTTCATTTTATTATTAATTTTTAACGACGGTACTAAAATAGACCAAAACTAATAATTTAAATATTAAATGAGTAACTTAACCCTTAAATCATAGAACCCTAAAGATTTACTTAAGTAATTCGACTGCATCCAAGGGTTATTTCGTAATTTAGATGGAACTTTTCTAATCGAAAGAGACAAGACATGAATGAAAATTCCCACCACAATTTCTAATCCCCTATTGCATGGAAATCACGAGTAAGAACTTTGTATATAAGTTGTCAAATTATGTTTTTAATCCCTTTTCTTTATGTGAATTTGAAATTTTGTCATTATATTTTAATTTAACATTATTTAACAATTTACTTTTATAATATCATTAGTTAGTCCACAGCTAACAACGTTATCTATTCGAGTTAAAATATTTATATGTTTTTCCCTTAAAATTTCCTCTTTTTTATATGAAATTTTATTAAATTTAGGTTTGGTTGGGATCAGATTTAAGATAAAAAAATATTTAATCAAACCCCAAAAGTAATATAATTATCTCTTATATATTAAGAATAATTGAAATAATATTTTTCTCTATATATATATATTTTAATTAGGTCCCTATTTCACCTAATAAAAATAAAATTATATATATATATATATATCGGATCGATTTAGATCAGATAGTTTTTACCCAAAAATCGAATCGAGTTTTCGCAGTTCATGTGAGAAGCTTTTACTGACAAAGTCTAGTTATAGAGGTTTTCTTCTTTTTCTTTTTCTTTTTTTCCTTCTTTCTTCTCCTTCAAGTAATTTGATGATTAAAATGGCTTCTTTAGTATCTGAAAGCATAAATTATAATTTTTAATATTATTTTTTTGGTGAAGAGTATGATCTCAATCATTGAATTACTGCTTGATTCTAGCAGGATTAGCAGAACATTATGGACATTTTGCACCTAAACGGACCAAAAAGGCACCGTTGTTGACAATTTTTCAAAATTTCGATTACTTTTATTTCAACAGAAAATGATTTCTACTGGCACTACCGTTGTTTTTATTGACATTTGAAGACCAAATTTTATTTACAAAAAACAATTAGATTTGTTAAATAAAAAATTAGTCAAATCAATTTGGATTTTATTATTTGTTTTAAGTTTATGTTTACATCTTATTTGTTAGTATTTATTATTATTATTTTCAGAATCATGTCAGACATGAAGACAATTCAAGATTTGTTGATTGCAATTTGAATTCAAAAAATATAATTGGATTCATCATAACTCAAATATAATTTAGGGTAAAGTATACAAATGGTCCCGACTATAGGATATTGATTTGTTGAATCTTGTGACTATTAAAAGTTACAAAAATAGTCCCCCAATCATAAGATGTTACTTTTTTCGAGTCCCTCGAATATTAAAAGTTACAAAGTGGTCACTTGACTATTCATTATGTTCAAAATTCATAATTTTTTGTTAAAAAAATTGATCACAACTTGAGTTAGACATTAATATAATGTCTGGGATATGATAAAAATATGATATCAGAATCTCAAACAACTATTATATATCAGAAAATAAATTAACATCCAACTTAGATTGTCTTTAATTTTTGTAATAGAAAAGGACAAGTTCGAAATATAATGAATAGTCGGGTGACCATTTTGTAACTTTTAATAGTCGAGAGACTCAACAAAATAACATCCTATAGTTGGTGGATCATTTTTATAACTTTTAATAGTCAAGGGACTCAATAAAGTAATATCATATAATCGAGGGACCATTTGTGTATTTTACCCTATAATTAAATTAGATGTGATTATAAATAAAATCAATAATTTGATTTCCTACGAATCCAAATATAAAATTAATTTGAATATGAATAATTAATACTTAAATAAAACGAATTACTATTTAAATAGTATTATCCAACCAATGAGTGTTGAGTATAATTAAGGATGATAATTTGATCCGAATAAGATGTGTTTTTTTTAATTTTATAAAAGAGGGGTTTGGATTTGGATTGGATCGAATTTTGTAATAGGTAAAGTTAGATCGGATCAAATTTGAGTTTCGGTAAAAATTTTCAAACTTGATCAAAATATATTTATCGTGTAAAATCAACTTAAAACTCAAGCCGTTGTCATACCAATTACAATGACATGATACTAATTACGATTATAAATCTAAAATACGAGTGGTAAAATAAATAAAAACCTAAAAATGTAACTTAATACCTTTTCCCCTATGACATAATATAAATATTAAAAAATAATAAGACCTCAAGTCAACTAAACCCCTTAATTTAGGGGTTTAAAGTCAAGACAACGGATTCGGGCAGTAATTATTCTAAATTGAAGTGTATTAATTTATTGGAAATTACAAATCTGGTAATTAAACTTTACTTTTTCTCTTATTTCACTTAATGTAATTTAATTTTTTTTTTAATTTTCTCACTTAACATAGTACATTGAATTTGTAATATCATTAACTATTTAATGGATGAGTGACCAAAATAAAAGAGAGTAAAATTCAGTGATAAATTTATAATTTACCCTAATTTAGTCTACAAACTTCAAGTGTGTCTAGTCAACAACTTAGTGTGAAAGCAATCATTTGAAGCTTACAGTTTCTCTATAAGAAGTGCTATAAAAAATTTGAAGCATTTCACCCAACACTTGCTCTGATAAACCATGGAAAACAGCTCTAATGAAGATGTCGTTTTACCTCCGAGTGTCGAAGCATTAATATCAAGAATTTGCGACGAGCAAAAACAACAGCCACTCCCCAACTCAACGAAGCAGGAACTGGCCGAGAGAGGCGAAGAAGAATCGTTAAAGCTTCTTAAAATAATCCAGCGTTCTAGGATTAATACTACATTTGATCGATACTTAAAGTTTTTGATGAGAAACTCAAACAGTCCTTTTCCATTGAACTCCAGCCCCTTCTCTTCTCCTGATAAATCATGGCGTCTTATGATGAGCTCTCCAGGTTAGCTTCTCTTATCCTCTCTCCAATGACGGGTTTCTTTTCTTTTTAGTAGTTGTTTGATGCTTTTTGTGTTTCTGGGTAGCTGATTTAGCGGGAGGTACTTCTGATGTTGCTTCTAGTTCGGCACCAGTTACCCCTATAAAGAGTTCTTCAGCAAGCGCTGGCAGAGGAGAAGGGTTTAGCCCCCAGTTGGAAGCTTTAGGGGAGCTTGAATTTCGTAAAGCTTTTCTAATTTTAAGCTATATCGGGCAGTAAGTTTTCGTTCTATCCACGTGCTTACTGCTTAGCTTTTGCTGCTTTTAATAATATGTTTTTATACAGCAATCAATATAAAAAAGTTTTCTTGTTTTGTTTTTCCACAGGAATAGGCTAGAACAAGTAATCACTGCTGAAGAAATTCGAAGTTACAAGAATTTGGCGATGGGTCTATTTGAGAAAAAAGTCTGGGGTTCTCTGGGTCAACTTTATGCTGCTGCTGATCGTGTAAAGGTAACTAATCATGTTTCTAAAGTTTGTAATTTTTGGCATCACCTTTCCCTGCTTTGGAAGCTTTGTGAAATTGATTACTTTCTCTTTCTTTGCCCTTCTTTATTACCATTTTGTTCCTTTGTATTGAAGCAACTCGAGTGGGGATCGGATAAGACCTATGAATATCAGTGTCATGTATGTGAAAATGGAAGCTATAGGTTCAAGGTAAACTGGGAGTTGTAGTTTCAAGGTTCTTGCATTCCCTTGATTTTGTCAATGCATGTATTTTAGTTTACATTCATGGGACAAAAGCATTGGATGAAGTTTTTTGAAGCTTGTAGAACATGTAATACGATTTCTTTTTTATCGGATGAATATCAGAGCTCGTACTAGTTCATATGATGGAATTGCATGATGGTATGGATCAATTACGATTTTACGAAGTCTTTATGATAATACATGATGATAGATAATTATCATGATGTTGGAACTAGCATATCCCAAACATCTACTGGAAGTGTATGTTTGTTTATTGCTTGCCTTACAGGATTTCACTCTTGATTTGTTGTCCTGGATGGAATTGATCTCATAAAATTCTAGTGATTTTTCTTTATCAATGGGCATAAGTCCCATGATCCGTCTTTTTCTGGGGTGGATGCACTGCATGGTAGCATAATGTGCATTGCATATTAATTATTATTTCGCAATGTTCTTTCCTTCAAGCTTTATTGTATTTTCCTCTGTCCTTTTGTGTTGAATGTGTTATCGTTTGGATGTGGTTTCTCAGGGCCCTTATTTTGAAAGGACTAGAAGTCATTTACAAAGAGTTTTAGGAGATGATAACGTTCTTTCTGTTAAGTTTGAAAAAGATGGTAAAAGTTCAGTTGGCAGTGATTTTCCGGAGTTCAAGAGAATTGGAAAAGAAGGAATTCTTGTTGGTTTGCGCCGTTACCGGTTTTTCGGTGAGTCTTCTGCATTGCATTTTCCGAACACCCTACTTATTAGGATTTGTGCTGGTCATTGAATACTTACCATGTAAAATTTCAGTCTTTAAGGATGGAGGCAAAGCAGCAAAAAAGAAAGATCCAAGTACTTCATCTGTTAAGTGCTTTTTTGTTCGATTCGAGTCTAATGCGTCCATCGATCAAGGGAAAGAATACATTTTATCTGGCAAAACAGTTAAAGAAGCCAGAAGTCTGTTTATGCATGTCCATAACCTGGAAAGCATGGCCAAGTATATGGCCAGGTCAGTGATGATGCAATCATGCAAATATCCATGTTTAATTTATCTATCCATTTTTGAGTAGCTTGCTTTTCCTTGGGCTGTAGATTTTCACTAATACTCTCGAAGACCATGAAGTTGGACGTTGATTTTGACAGTCTACGTTTTGATGAGAGAGAAGATATACCCTGCACGGTATGGTATTCGGATTTAAATTTCAATGAAAAGTCTATCCCTCATTGCTACTTTAGCTTATCTTGTGTTTGTTATTCTAAGTACAATTTGATATCTTAAAGCAACAAATTTTGCAGGGTGAAGGATTTGAGAAAAATGGAAAAGATCGTATTCACACTAATGGAACTGGATTTATATCCGAGGATTTGGCGTTGAAATGCCCGAAAAACGTCTTCAAAGGAAGCATCACCAATGGTGCCAACAATGAGATTCGAACAATTGGTGCATCGATGGTATGATAATCTGTGAAAGCTGTGTACAGTACAGCACAAATATCAGTTTAATAAATACTTTTGAACAAATATCAGTTTACAGTTGGGATGCTGACCTTGTCCGGTGATCTTTTTATTCTTTTCTTTTTTTCAGTTATACAGTTTTCTAAGATAATTTCTTCTCAATGAACTTTAGGGGGAATCTCCAGACACGAAATCGACAGAATCTCACCGTGGGGTACCGGTATGCGTATTGAACAACTAAGCGGTGCTTTCCTCTGTTATTTTAGTAACTGATTATGGTTCCATTCTTTGTTTTCTTTCTAGCCTTTGCTGCTCCAGATCCGCTTCTTTTACAATGGTCGTGCTATCAAGGGAACTTTACTAGTTAATAAGAAGGTAAACTTTTGCTGGATGATAACATCTATGTGCTTGTTAGAGGCTGCATGCTAGTAATAACTTTTATTCCAAAATTCTGTAGCTTCCACCCCGAACCATTCAAGTTCGGGAATCCATGATTAAAGTTCGACCTGATCCATCAAAGAACCGCACGATAAATTCACTGGAATTAGTTACCACCAGGTGCATGCCGTTGATCTATTCATTTAATTTCTGTTTAATATACTTGCACATCATCTATTTTTCCCCTTTGAGCAGTTACTATTTTTCTTTGCTGCACTTGTGGGTGATATATTCTATTTCATCTCCTGCAGCAATAAACCAAAGGGAACTAATCTTAATAGGAATTTGATTATGCTCCTTAGCCATGGGGGTGTCCCGGATGATTTTTTTATGGATATATTGAAGAATGGTTTAGAAGAGTCAGAGCGCGGTTTCTCGAACAAAAGAACAGCCCTTAAAGGTAGTTTTCTTCATTGTCACCAAACCCTTCCTCGAATTGTTTGTTTTGATGATTATACTAGCTTAACGTGCAAAGATTTTACTGTTGTAGTATAATTGGTCTACACTTCAGTGATAGTCTTGTCTCATTGATGCTCCTTTGCTTATCTGCTACCATTTACTTATATAGCTAACTTTTGAATCAGTCTTTGTAACTATCACATGCAGTTGCTCTTAACCGTGGAGGAATGGACGAACTTGGTGTGGCGAAAATGATTCTAGCAGGGATTCCCCTTGATGAATCGTATTTGCAATATCGAATGTCCATAATGTTGAATGAAGATAGAAAGAATCTCCTTGAAGGAAAACTACCTATAACTGGGTCCTATTATTTAATGGGCACTGTTGATCCATCTAAAACCTTGAAACGTGGTGAAGTCAGCATTATCTTGTAAGTCAGTCAGCATTATCAATTCAAACAGAAATTTCTTTTCCCTGCACTTATGATTGCATATTATGGGTCTTCCTTGATGATATGTGTAGGGAAAATGGACAGATTTCTGGTAAAGTGCTTGTGTACCGTGCACCCGGAGAACATTTTGGAGATGTACATGTGCTCAATGCGAGATATGTGGATAAGTTGAATGAATATGTAGGACATGCCAAGTATGCCATATTCTTTCCTTGTGATGGCCCGCGCTCTTTGGCTGATGAGATGGCTGGGGGTGATTTTGACGGCGACATGTTCTTCGTATCACAAAATCCACAGGTTGGTTTCGTTTTGAGTTTCCAGACCGTTTCTTTTCTTATGTTCAGTCAGTCATGCATGGAGAGGATATTGATCATATTGGGAATTCACTGACTGGTTCTTGTCCTGCTTATTGTACATTAAGTGCGTATGCAACACATGGCTGGTATCAAATGTTTACCGTTACAGTCTACTAATGTTGTACAATTTTCAGCTTTTGGATTACTTCAAAGCTAGTGAGCCCTGGGAAGAAGAATGCTCTACTCCCGAAGGGCCCAGTCCGAATCCCAGCAAGCTTTCGGATGAGGAGTTGGAGAGTGAGCTCTTCAATTCGTTCTTGAAAGCTAGGTTCCAGCAAAGGTAATCATCTCCATCACTTTGGATAACAAATACATTGTAACAAGTTCTCATGCTAGTGCTCGGTTTTGGTTCTGATGTTATTGCAAGTTCGGCTGCTTCTTTTTTCAGTTATGCTATGAGTGAGGCTGCTAATAGTTGGATCGCGATAATGGATCGGTTTCTTACGGTAAAAGATCCATCCGAGAGAACTCTCATGAAGAAGAACCTGGAAAGCCTTATTAACTTATACTACGAAGCTTTGGACGCTTCAAAGACAGGAAAGAAGGTAATAACAGCGATAGATGATTGCATATTTTTTTCGTTTTTCTGCCATGAACTATGCGTGCACGTAGCCACGTACATAGCTATCATCATCTGCATTTATATGTTTCTTGTTCTCAAATGACTGTTGTACTTTCGAGTGATTACAACTTTCGAATAGGTCGTCATTCCAGAGGACTTGATAGCACCAGTGTTTCCACATTACATGGAACGGTATAACTCATTCAAGTCAACTTCCATCATGGGGAAGATTTATGATTATGTCAAATCTTATCAAGACCAAGTGTCCAAGAGGACCAAGACGGGTAAACAAAGCATTTCCGAGTTTTATGTTTTGCGCTATCATGAAGCAAGTGAATAACGTGTTTAAATCTTAACCCTTCTCAGAAGTTCGAAAGCTCCCCTGCTTCGACGACGGAGTCCTAGAGGAAGAATGCCGAGAAAAATGGACCGCACTTTACGAGGAATACAGGAAAGACATGTCAGATGCTCAAAAGTTCCCGAGCAAAGAACAAATAGATGCAGCTTGTAATGCAGTTTATGACAAGTACAAGAAGGTGAGTATCAGCTAAATGCTTGGACACACGTAGTATCGTGGTTAAATCGATTAATCCTGATCGAATATGTACGTCAATGGTATAGGAACTATACGGAGGTTTGGAGTTGGAGGAGAGGCAAAGGCCGATGGACGAAATCCGAAAGGAGGCTGTTGCCATTTATAACATTTGCTATGACTATGCCATGAACATAGATGAAGTGGGCAGATGCGGGTTCGCATGGAAAGTTGCAGGCTCGGCCCTCTTAAATCTGTACACTGAGCAGCTGGGTGAAAGTACTCTCTCGTGTGCACCTTCTGTACTGAAAGAACTCTTTTCTTGAGCTAATAATGCTGTGGGCGGATTCGAAATAATTTGACCTCCTATGCTCTGTTACCTCTGTTACAACCCAATACCCTAAGACATCCCTGCTGCTGCCACCACCAACCTAACTGTAGTCACATGCCTCAATCTCCAACACTCCACGTCACCTCCATGCCCTGCCAACTAGGGATGGACATGAGGTCCGAACTCGAAAGATTCCGACTCAATAATAGGAGTCGAATCTAACAAATAATAATACTTACTTTTAGAAATATAAATTGTAGTAGTTATAAGTAAGATCGAATCCACCGGGATTAGATAGACATTTTAATGAAAATTAAAGTAAAGAAAAGGAGTTTGAAATTGAGAAAATTAAAAAGAAAAAAAAAACAATTATAATCAACTAAGAATTTAGAGAAATTAATATCAAACAAATATCCAACTAAATGTATTATTTCAGAATTGGTTCAGAGAATTGATCATAGATGCAATGATAAAATCTTCTACTTTTCACTAAATTGGTTATGGTTATTGACAAACTCTAACAACCCGTCTCTCCTTAGTTTCTTGATAATCAAGAGAAGTTCTTTGATTATTTCCCTTGTTAATGAACAATCCTAGACAAGCGCTTAAAATTTAATCCACCAACAACATTAACCACTAGAAAGACCATCAATTCTAGCCAACAAATACACAAGCTCGATTCATTTAGACTAGATTATATACCTTCATAACATAATCAAAAATTAATTATGTTACTTTACCACTAATATTATAACGTTTAAATAATTACGGATTTAAAGTTCTAAATGAAAATTTATCAACTGGATAATTGAACAACGGACTCTTTGCACAATCAATCAAGACAATAATTCTTAATAAAAACAGAAGATATATAAATAGTGAAGAAGTAAAAGAACAATGAAAATGATTTAGATCTCACAATCATTGAAGAACCAAAACTTCAATTATCATTCAGTTAGAACAAAAATATTTAGCTACTTATAATTGAAAGAACACCAAAAGAAAATAAAGATGAAGTCAGTAAATAATCCTAAAGGAAAACTTAAATTTAAAGAAAAACTTGAAAACTATGAAAACCCTAGCTCCCTTTTTATAAGGATTGCCCTATTCTAGATAAGGAAGTTTCTCAAAAGTAAATCCCACCAAAATAGGGATTTTTGAATACCCTCATTATTTTCTAAAGATAAGAATAATTCAATAGTTTTTCAGTCGTCATTAAACTTTGTAAATTCGTAACTCTAATTTAGGGTTGTACGGATTGGTAAGGGGTGCCCACGCCTTAACTGTAGACTTCTTCTGCGATAGCTCAGGATGAATAAGTCGTGCCCACGCCTTATGTGAAAACATGTTCTGGTCTTGTCAACTTCTTGAATTCCAATTTTTCCTCATTGATTTGGGGATTTCGTGAAGATTATGCTATTTATTGAATTTTGAACTTGTTTAATACAAATCTTCAACCTAATCCACAAAATAGGAAATATAATCAAAATCTATTATTTAAGCAATTTTAGTTATTCAAATACAAGGGAAATATCATAGAATATATGGCTAATATGCATCTTATCACCTGACCCGATCAGATCGGTTTTTTTTTTAAAATTCAGGATCGGGTCGAATTTTTTTAATGTGATGTTCGGGTCGGGTTCGGGTTTAAAGTGAAAAATACCCGATCCAAAAAAATATATAATTTTATCTTATATATTTAGAAATAATTACAATAATACCCTCTATATATTACTTTTTTCAATTAAGTCACTGTTTTTATTGAATAATTTTTTTTATTATTATTTCGGGTCAGGTTTAGTCAAAATTTTAAGTTATATATCGGGTTGGGTGAAATATTATTTTGGTCAAGTCGGGTTGAATCTCAGGTAAATGACTCCTTATTCTCGAATCAGATCGGGTGGACCAAAAATACGACCTAATCCAACCCACACCCATCCCTAATTAGTGTCAGCAATCTCTTCTCTTCATCAACAACCATACAAACAAATCAATTTATTTTATAATTTGATGTAAATGGGTTATAAAACCCAACAAATCAGATTGTAAAGGGTCCCGCTCCCATTTTGAAGAAATAAATACAAAAAAAAACATTTCAAAGGTCAACTTTTATATTTCATTCTAGCAATTTTTTTCTCTTTTCCGAAATAAAAACATAGCAGGAGAGAGAAGGATTTTCGGTAGTTACCTTTGGTAGTGGTTATGTCGCCGGAATTTAGGAGGTCTTTGGGAGGGTTGACATCGGGGTTGCGTCGTGGTGGCCGGAATACTAGTCGTTGGACTCATTTTTTGGAGGATTTTGTTTCATTTGGCTCGGTTCTAGGTGTAGATGAAGAAAGGAGTTTTGGCTTCGTTTAGGGCGGCGATTGGAGCGAAATGGCCACCAAACCGGTGGTCGACGGTGTTGTTCGGTGGGGGCTTGAGAGTGGCCGGTCGCTCGTGAAAAAGAAAGAAGAGAGTTTTTAGATTAATAAATTATGTTAGATATTAAAATATGGGTAAATCGCGTCCAAGTTCCTCATATTTAGTCGCATATTTCTATTTTGGTCACTAATTTCATCTTTTATCTATTTGTTTCGATTTAGGCTGCATGTTTTGTTTTGTTTTATTTTGGTCAATTTTTATGTTTTTATTTATTTCGAAATGTTCTGCTGATTTCTATTATTTTTATTTAGGTCACTGTTTTAGTCATAATTTGCTTGTTTTCATTTTGGTCCCTATTTATTTTTTATTTATTGCATTTGAAATTAACCTGTAATTCATGTTTTATTTTATTTTGGTCACTTGATTGCATTTTATTTAATTTTAATTTTGATATGCTAAGTTTGTTTGTTTATATTTTGGTCATTTCTACGTTTTATTTTATTTCTGACACCCTGTTTGCATTTTTTTAACCATTTCCTCATTTATTTTATTATTTGATTATGGTGCCCTGTTTTTACGTTTGGTTTTTGGTTAAATATTTGTTCTTAGTGGATAATTTATGATTATGCTATGTTGGTCCTTATTACTATTACATGATAGAAAACACTTTATTTTTGTTTTAGGACCCTTTAACTTTTTTATGTATTTATTTCAGTCATTGCTTTCACTTTTAAATGTGAGCTTTCATGTATATATATATATATATTTCATACTTAATGTTTTATTTCTCTCTTGATTTAATCCTCACATAATTTGGTCCCTGTTACTTTTATTTTTACCATATAAGTATGTTTATTATCATTATTATTTGGTCTTGGTTGTTTGTACATATTATATCGTATTATTCATATATGTGTGTATATATACTTAATATTCTTTGATCCTTGTATATTTATATATATTACTAATTTAATTTAATTTAATTTTGTTTGATTTTATTTATTTATTTTATTTTATAAAATGCTCAATTGTCCATATTTTATATCTGAAGTACTTGATGTTAACATTTTTTTAATATTTTATTTAAATGTTTTCAAGAACACTCTATCATAGAATGGGAATGAAAAACATTGTTTAATTGAATTAGTGCGATCCGACATGACATTCGAACAAAGAGTGAACTCAAAATAAGTGGAATTTATTTTTATAGAGAAGATAATTAATTCGTTTTTATTTTAATTCAAATGATGTAATGCATGTTTATTTAAATAGTAAGTTATTTTATGCAATTTTTATAGAGAAAATAATTGATTAGTTTTTTTTATTTTAATTCAATTTATATTCGATTTATGTTTTTTTTTACGATGATGGGGAGGGAATGTTTCTCATATAAATAAGAAATAGATAAGATAACATTTCCATGGGAAGATGCGTAAATCTAGTGATTTTTTTTTCAAATTAAGGAATGTTACCTAACAAATAATTCGAAACAAATTATTTAATGTTCAATAAAAAGATCGTGCTTTAAATATTAATACGAATTCATGATGTCCACCTTTTACGATAATGTGTAAGTAATTAAGTACCAATTTTTTAGCGTTGTGGGGTGTTAATCATTCCTCACACGTAATCGACTCCCGAACTTAAAAGAAATTTTTTGACAAGTGAAGATCAGTTTTTTGTCTTAAAAATGATTTTTTAAAATTAATTAAAAAGATATTTTAAGTGTTCGATTTACCTAACACAAAAATTGATAACGAATTCAAACTAATTTAATAAAATAAACATAACATTTCAAAATTTTCAAATAAATCGTAAATTTGAGATTTTCATAAAAAAAATTATTCGTTTGTTATAAAAAGACGTTACGACAATACGTACATGTGTTTATATATAATCTTGGTACTTCCAGAAGTCTTATCTAAAAATTTTATAATTTAGAAAGGAAACAAAACTAATGGGACCAAGCGAAGCTGGTGGTATTATTATCATTGACAGTGATGTTTATTATTACAATGATCGTTACCAGAAGCGGTCTTTTCCACCTTTTCTTAGCGCATGACAGTGATGTTTCGAATCATGCTATAGTTGAACAAGTCCACCGAACGCAGCTGATCCCAGTGTTATTTTTCTTTTAAGTTATAGGGATTGATCATTTTATCTGTAGTATATCCTGTTGAATCTCCTGCTCATCATAGACATAGTATCAGCTGAAGCAATCTAGAGGAGAGAAGATGGAGAGCACCATGAAAGGGATGATGAGAGGAGGGGAATCAGTGCTTGATTTGTCCCCCAGAGACACCGTAGGTGGCGGTGTCGAGGATGTTTACGGTGAGGATTGCGCCACCGAGGACCAACTCGTCAACCCATTGACTTACTCTGTTGCAAGGTCACCCTTTTTCATTTTTTTTTCTTATGAAGCTTGTGTTTTTTATTATGGTTTTTTTAACTGTTCTTCCATGGTTACAGTGGGTATTCATTGTTGAGGGATCCCCTCCACAAAAAAGGGTTTGCCTTCACTGAGAGAGAGAGATTCTCACTACTTGCGTGGTTTACTCCCTCCTGATGTTGTCACTCAACAGCTTCAGGTTTCATACTATAATTTCAACCCCATTTTTGGCTAATCCCCAGATTCTGAGAAGTACTGATTAATGTTATGTGTTTTTTATAATTCTTAGGAGAAGAAATTGATGAACAATATCAGGAAATATCAAGTTCCCCTTCAAAAATACATGTCCATGATGGAAGTTCATGTCTCTCTTGTACCTCTCTTTACATTGACTTTAAGCTTTGGTGTTGTTCGTACTCTTTACATTCACCATTAACAGGAAAGGAATGAAAGACTGTTTTACAAGCTGCTGATTGATAATGTTGAGGAGCTGCTCCCAATTGTTTACACCCCAACTG